GCTGGTGAAGCCCCATGCTGTGTGAGGCCGATAGGGAATTGGGGAAGAGGCGTGGCGCTACGATTTCGTTGCTCTCCCTTCCTCCTCTTTCGCTGGTTTCCTTGTTTATCGTTTCTCATTCATTTCCTCTTCTCTTTCCCTCGTTTTCTCTTTTCTCCCTCCCTTACTTTCATTCTCTTTTACTTTCTTTCTTCGGTCTCCTATCACCTATCATTCCCTTCCTTTTATAGCGTCTCTATCGCTTTGCTTTTCTCCTTCTTCACTTTCTCCTATTCTCGCTACTTCCTTCATTACTTTATCTCTTTCTCCCTCCCTATTACCACTTTTTCCTCCTTCCCTTCCCTTTTTGCTTCTATTTCCATGCCTTTTCTCTCTCTCTCTCTCTCTCTCTCTCTCTCTCTCTCTCTCTCTCTCTCTCTCTCTCTCTCTCTCTCTCTCTCTCTCTCTCTCTCTCTCTCTCTCTCTCTCTCTCTCTCACTCTATCTCTCACTCTATCCTCTCCTTCTCTCTCTCCTCTCTCTCTCTCCTCTCTCTCTCCTCTCCTCTCTCTCTCTCTCTCTCTCTCTCTCTCTCTCTCTCTCTCACTCTCTCTCTCACTCTCACTCTCACTCTCACTCTCACTCTCTCTTTCTCTCTCTCTTTCCCAATCCCTCCTCTCATGTCATCTCGTTCTCCCACTCGTGTGTATGCAAAATTTCATACCGTACAAAATTCATCACCATCCTCCCCTTCCTTGCCCTCCTCTTCCCCCTTCCATTTTTTTTTCTTTCTTCTTCTTCTGTATGATGAACATGAAGCGTTTTAAAATATATAAAGCGAAAGTTGCATTTATAATCTATTTTCGGGGTTGAAAGTGTCGAGATGCGGAGGGTGGGTCTGGTGACAGCTGTTTAGGTCTGGGAAGGGAAAAGGTGGGAGGGGGGAGGAAAGAGGAGGAAGGGGGGAGGGTGGAGGTGGAGGTAGGGGGGGAGGAGAGGAGAAGAGGAGGAAGAAGGGGGGGAGAAGAGGAGGAAGAAGAGGGGGGGTGGAGGTGGAGGAAGGGGGGAGGGAGAGGAGAGGAGAGGAGGAAGGGGAAGGGGAGGAGGGTGGTGAGGAGAAAGGGGCTGGAGGAGAGGAGGAGAAGGAAGGGGAAAAATGAGAGGAGGAGAAGAAAGGGGAAGAAATGAGAGGAGGAGAAGAAAGGGGAAAAATGAGAGGAGGAGAAGAAAGGGGAAGAAATGAGAGGAGGAGAAGAAAGGGGAAGAAATGAGAGGAGGAGAAGGAAGGGGAAGAAATGAGAGGAGAAGGAGGAGGAAGAAGAAGAAGAAGAGGAAGAAGAAGAAGAAGAAGAGGAAGAAGAAGAAGAAGAAGAAGGGGAGGGGAGGAAGGGAGTAGTAGAATCAGATGTTAGATTTATATTAGTGTCTATGACAATAGCGGAATAGGGAAACAAACAAAATGAGCGAAAAGGGGAAGAGAGTGAAAGGAGGGAGAACAACTGTGAAAGGTAATGAGAGGAACTGAAATACGATATGATGGGGGATTTGCCAAGAAATATGATAAGCGGGAGAATAAAAGAGAAAAGAAAAGGGGGAGAAAACGAGCGAAACGCAATACGAAAACAATAGGAATTATTGTTGTAACGATCAACTAAATTTCTTTTTAAAGTTGCAAGAGCGGTTAATATATGGCAACATTTCTCTCTCTCTCTCCCTCCCTCCCTCCCTCCTTCTCCTTCTCCTTCTCCCTCCCTCTCTCTCTCTCTCTCTCCTTCTCCCTCTCCCTCTCTCTCGCTCTCCCCCTCCCCCCTTCGAGTGCCACCATTCAAGAAGAGGAGGAAAAGGCGAGAGAACAAAGCCGACAAAACTCTTTCTACGAGCGACACGGAGCCATATCAATCCCGTGCAAATCGCAGCCCGAATAACAATGTGCATAGAAAGTTGGTTGATATCTAACGGCCATAACGGGATGGGAGGCGGGGTGGGGGTGGGGGTGGGGGGAGTGGGGAGAGGGGAGAGGGGAGAGCGCACCATAAAGATACCTATATATAGAAGTGCAAGTGGGAGTGCCTGGCCCTGTTTTTTCCCCTCTTTTTTTTTTCTTTTTCTTTTTTTCTTATGGAAAAAGACGCGGTGCTATCTCGCTTGTCTGTCTTTTTGCCGGTTGGAGGCGGAGATTTTTTTGCGGTATAATTGTCATTTATTACTTTTATCATTGTTATTATTATTATTATTATAATGATTTTATAATTATGATCGTTATCAGTCAGAATTATTATTAGTAGTATTATATTTACAATTACTGTTGGGTTATTATTATGATGATGATTATTATTATAATCTATTATTATTATTGTTATTATTATTATTATTATTATTATCATCGTTATCACTCGAGTGTGATTATAATTTTTCTTTTTATCGTTTTTATTATTATGTTGTAGTTGTAACTCATTTTGCGTTATTACTCTAATTATCGTGAGTCTTTTCATTCCGAAACGATAAATACATGACAGACATATTTAAATTTTTGGTTTGTCTGTAGGTTTCATTTTCAAGATGATTTTCAGAAATGCAGTACATCATTACGACATAGATCTGGTAATGATAGTAATGACTGCGATGATGATGATAATGAGGAGAGAGAGAGAGAGAGAGAGAGAGAGAGAGAGAGAGAGAGAGAGAGAGAGAGAGAAAAGAAGAAGAACAGGAATAATAATAACAAGAAGAAGGATGATGATGATGGCCACAGCCTGCGGGGCGCAAGGAGAGGGAGATGACGGTGAAGAGTGACTATCGACTCGCCATGTCACTCACGGCGTCACGCTTTCCACCTTCATGGGAGAATGAGAGGCGGGGTGGAGGGAGGGGGGGTAGGTAGGGAGGGGGAAGGGGAAGGAGTGAGGGAGGGAGAGGGAGAACGTGAGTGCGTGAGGGAGGGAGAGGGAGAGGGAGAGCGTAAGGGAGGGAGGGGGAGGGAGAGCGTGAGGGAGGGAGAGGGAGAGCGTGAGGGAGGGGGAGAGAGAGCGTGAGGGAGGGGGAGGGACAGCGTGAGGGAGGGAGAGGGAGAGCGTGAGGGAGGGGGAGGGAGAGCGTGAGGGAGGGGGAGGGAGAGCGTGAGGGAGGGAGAGGGAGAGCGTGAGGGAGGGGGAGGGAGAGCGTGAGGGAGGGAGAGGGAGAGCGTGAGGGAGGGGGAGGGAGAGCGTGAGGGAGGGAGAGGAAGAGCGTGAGGGAGGGGGAGGGAGAGCGTGAGGGAGGGAGAGGGAGAGCGTGAGGGAGGGAGAGGAAGAGCGTGAGGGAGGGGGAGGGAGAGCGTGAGGGAGGGGGAGGGAGAGCGTGAGGGAGGGGGAGGGAGAGCGTGAGGGAGGGGGAGGGAGAGCGTAAGGGAGGGAGAGGGAGAGCGTGAGCGAGGGAGAGGAAGAGCGTTAGGGAGGGAGAGGGAGAGCGTGATCGAGGGAGGGGGAGAGAGTGAGCGAAGGAGCGGGGGAGAATGAGCGAGGGAGGGAGAGAGGGAGAGGGAGGGAAAGGGAGTGAGAGAAGGGGGGAGGACAGAAGGAATGAGCGAGAACGAGCCGGAGAAAGAGGAGGAAGGAGGTTAAAAAATAAACAAAAAAAAATGGTGGACATCAAATGAAAACCACGTGAGCTAAAGTTTGACGGTCACGCTTTTCGAACATTACAAATCGATCCACATGGAAATAAATGGAAACTTAATAACGCCGAGGAACGTACACTTAAAGAAAACTAAAAATTATGTGATCCGAATAATGCTCCAAGGACAAGGGTTGAACAGCCTTGGCGTGCGAGTTTGTCCTTGCTGCGGTCTGGGCAGTACCGTTAAATTGACAGGGTGTGCGCGTATGGAGAGAGAGAGAGAGAGTGTGTGTGTGTGTGTGTGTGTGTGTGTGCGTGTGTGCGTGCGTGTGGGAGTGTGTGGGCGTGCGTGCGTGTGTGTATGTGTGTGTGTGTGTGTGTGTGTGTGCGCGCGTGCATGGGCGTGCGTGTGTGTGTGTGTGTGTGTGTGTGTGTGTGTGTGTGTGTGTGTGTGGGCGTGCGCACGCGCGCTTGTGCTTGTATGAGGATTTGAAGGTGCGTGCACGCGTTCGCGTGTCTGGAAGTGTACCTTTATGTGTGTGTATGGGTGGATGTGCCGGTGTTTTCGTGGATGCAAGGTCTATATATAGACCTTGGGTGGATTGTGTAAGTTCGAGTAGGTGTCTCTATGTGCGTGCGCGCACGCCTGTGCATTGCGTTTGTTTTAGGATGGAGTGAGTGGGTGAGTGCCATGATGTTCCTCTCACGTGGAACATCATGGCACTCGCCCACCCACCCTGCTCACGTGTGTCCTTGAGGCGTTGACGACTGCTTCGGGTTCATCTGCTTGCGACCTTGGCCACCGTCCGGCCAGAGATAGACATGCTAACGAACTTCTCAGAGCTCGAGAGATTAATGCCGTATTGCAGTCGGTTGTACAAGAACGCTTGGAATGCTTTGTAATTTTGCCAGCGGTCATTACTCTTTCCAACCCTCCCTCCCTCTCTTCATCCTTCCTCCCTCCCTCTCCCTTTCCTTCATCCCTTCCTTTCCTCTATGATCTTCCTCCCCTCCTTCGTCAATCCCCCCCTGGCTTCCTTTTTACTCCATCTGTCCCTCCCTCCCTATCCTAGACTTCGTTTTACTATTTTCTTCTTATCTTGACAGCGGCGGCCGGGCAGAGTCGTACGCGATAAAGCGATGACGTTAACGCGTGTTTACGCTCTTAAAGACGGAAATGGGGGGGGGGGGGTTGCAACGTTTACAACTTCGTCTTTGGGGGCAGTTTTGACTTCGTTTCTTTATATTGTCAGTTCCTGTGAAAAATTGTAAATTCTGTTAGAGTAAACCTGGAATAAAAGACGTAGATATGGTACCTGGAAGAGAATATATATATATATATATATATATATATATATATATATATATATATATATATATATACATATACATATATATATATATATATTGTAAGGGCGTATCTCCCACCTTTTCGTGATGCTCCGAGACTCGCCAGTAAGCGGAATGGATCACCAGCCGAGTGAAAACTAGACACTGGAAGCTCCGGCCTTATATACCGACTGAGATACCCAGGGGGAGGTAGGGGCCAACGGGGAGGGGAGAAGGCAGTTGATGAAGAGGGGGTGGATGGGGGGGATTTGTCCAGGTGAGTTGGCAGCGAGGATTTAGAGGGTGGTGTTTACTGGTGTGATTTCATATAATTTTTTTTTATTATTATTATTATTATTATAGGTGGTATGAGAGTCGTTTACATGTAGTTCTAAGGTGTTTGGAACCAAGTTGAGGAGTTTGTTGTAACCGACAGTGGTGGATTAACAGGTACAGGTATTCGCTGACAAAAACCTGGCCTTCTGACGGACGCCTCGGGGCTCGGTCCCTTGTACTGCGACGTAGAGGCAACTTGCCCACCAAGTGCGCATATATGCAGACTTTGTCACTTCAGTCACTCGAATTTATCAGTTTTTTATATTATTATCTTCATTGAGTGATTCTAAATTTTGTCCTCTCGTTAGAAGTTAAGGTTATTTAAGTTATTTAAGTATAATCGAATTCCTGACTCCTAAAAAAAATATATATATATATATATATATATATATATATATATATATATATATATATCAATACGCATCTAATGAATAATTCATGCCTACTTTCAAGTAAGATATCCTATGAATAGGGAGGATAGGCCTTCCCTCCTGCGGCTGATGCAAGACGTTACGGTTCGGAGTCTGGGATTACGTCATACGCCCCGACGCACTCGTGGGCCTTGAGCGTCGGCGTCGCCCGTCGCACCTGTCAGGGAAACCGCTCGTGGAATGCTATTTTTAGTCTGCTTTTCGGTGGATTTGTTTACGTTGGTTTGTTTGTGGTCCCGATTAGCTTTTGCTTTCGTTTCGGCGTTTTCTTCTCCTGCTTCTTATCTATTTTTTTTTTCTTTTTTCTTTTTTTTTTCTTCTTCTTCTTCTTCTTCTTCTTCCTCCTCCTTTTGATGAGAGGAAAAAAGGGTAATTTTCCACTTTTTTTTTCATAGTTAGGATTTTTTCTTTTTCTTTTTCTTTTTTCTAAAAAAATGAATAGGTAATTACGATGGAAACCGAGGCAGCACGAACCATTTTGAAGAGGGTTGCGTGCATTTTCCAGTACGGTGCTTCAGTGGGATTGTTCTTCGTGGGATATTAACACGGGTCTTTGTCGCTGTTAACGAACCGCAATGTTGTGAATAACTGTATTTGGTTTGTTATAGTTAGGTCTTGTATTTTTTTTTTTTTTTTTTTTTTTTTGTGTGTGTGTGTGTGTGTGTGTGTGTGTGTGTGTTATTTGGTTCAATAAAAAAATGACGTTATTGGTATGATTTATTTTTACTCCGTTGCCTTGAGGAATTGGCATTCAGTGCAAGTAACATGGTAAGAAGTTATGTACCGTGACTTTTTTTTCCACTTTTTCGGGTGTGTGTGTGTGGGGGGGGGGGGCATTGTTTGGGACATGTTTAACAGGACTTTTGACCGTTACTGTGTGTGTGTGTGTGTGTGTGTGTGTGTGTGTGTGTGTGTGTGTGTGTGTGTGTGTGTGTTTACTTTCGGAAAGGATTAAGATTTTCTGAAATTCATTGTTGCTCTTACCCTGATTACTAATATCAATATTTCAGCATTAGACCCAAACTTATAATGTCTAAAAAAAAAAAAAGAAAAAAAAATTAATCCGAAAGCTTCTTTAGGCACAAACCGTTATAACACAAACAAACGGACACTCCCCTTCCTCTCACGCACTGCACGCAAACGACATTCATTCCCGTGTCCAAGTTGTGTGAAAATCTTAAAACTTGGAAGAACTTAGGGGGGGAAAGTCTTGGATGGAGTGGGTAGATGTTGTTCTAAACGGTCCCGGGGGATTCTTAGCTTCTTTTTTTTTTTTTTTTTTTTTTTTTTTTTTTTTTTTTTGTGTGTGTGTGTGTGTGTGTGTTTAGTCGTTTCTTGTATGTTTTGTTTTTTCCCTTCTTTTTTATTTATTTACTTTTTGGAGGGGGTGGAGGGCGTTTTTTTCTTCTTCTTCTTCTTCTTCTTCGTTTCTTTGTTGTGTTTTTGTTGTTCGTGGTTTCCTATGCGTGCTCTTGATTTTTGTTATTGTTTGCGTGTGTGTTTGTTTATTTTCTTCTGAAGCTTCCGTTGACTGCATTATTGTGACGTAAGATTCTAGGTTTATTCTTTGTTTATGCTTTTGATTATGTAAGGATTTAAGAGAGGCTGTGGATTTTTTTCTTTCTTTTTTTTTTTTTACTTTCATTCGTCGCATGTGTGATGTGTATATGCAAATGTGCGTTTGTCTAAACTGGGCATAAGCACTCGTGTGTGTGTGTGTGTGTGTGCGTGTGTGTGTAATATATATAAACATACGCACATTGGTACGCATAAATACCAGCAAACCGTAAAAACCAAGATAACGCTTGTGACGTCAGAGATAGTGTCTGTCTGAGTGTTTCGGGAGACATCATTGCGCAAGAGGAATAGGAAATCATAGTGTGGGAGAAATATGAGAAAGATAAGAAGAGAGGAAGGGAGGGAGAGGGAAAGGAAAAGAAGGGGGATGGGAAAAAGAGAAACGGAGGGGGAGAAGAGAGGGAGAAAGAGAAGAGGGAGAAGGGGAAGGCGAGAGGGGAAAGGGAGTAGAGAGGAGAGAGAACAGAGAAGAGGGAGGAATGGGGAAGGAAGGGAGAGGAAGAGAGAAAGACAGAGAGAGTATCCGATTCGTAATTGTCTTCGATTACGTCATCGGTATTTCCCGCCCTCCTTAGCCGGCCTATTTGTGCGTAACAGAGAAAGGGAAATGGGGATTGATTGGCTCTTGTGAGGTACACGTTGGGTTTGAAGTTAGCCTCTTATTATTGTTTTTTTTTTTTTTTTTTTTTTCGAAATACTTATCATATTCGCACGCAAACATGCACACAAGTAAGCAAGCACACACGCACATAAAAACACACACACACACACACACATATGTATGTATGTATATAAACGTAATAAATATATTTGATGTATAACAGTATAACAATCGCGTTCGCTGTTGTCATCTTTACTTTGGTTATTTACTTTCTCTCCTTCCCTCCCCCCCCCCTTTCTCCCTTCCGCCCCCCCCCCCTCCTTGTGTTTCTCTTTCTATCAAAATGACCTTCGAAATTATTCCAGAACTTTCGCTGCTCACTTATCTGAAATTATCCTGAAGCAGAGGCGAGGGAGGGAAGGAGGGAGGGGGAGGGCGGAAGGGAGGGGGGAGGGGGGTAGATGAGAAAGGGGATTTATCCAGATTTATAATGAATTCGATTCGCGAGAAAGCTTTGGAATTGGCATTTAGCAGCGAGGGGGTTCAGTAGCGGCGGCATTGTTGAAAGGACTTTGTTGCTGTTGTTGTTGTTGTTGTTGTTAATGATGATGGTGATGGTGTTGTCGTTATCATTATATCGCTGTTATTTCGACGTCGGTTTGTGAATGTTGTTTGGGATTGTTTGGGATATTCGTTTCATTATCACTGTTCATTCGTAATGTTATCATCATTGTTGGTGCTGTTTATAATGATGATAATGATAATGTTTGTAATGCTGATGATGATTGTTATTGTTGTTACGATTATTATTATGATTATTATTATTAGTAGTAGTAGTCGTACGTGTTTGTTATTGTTGTTATTGTTATTATTATTATTACATATTTTTTTATCAATATGTATAACGATACATAGATGGGTACATACATACATACATACATACATACATACATACATACATACATACATACATACATACATACATACATACAGAAGCAGGTTTGGCAGATCATGCACTTGGTTAACTACACTTATTAATTACTCTTTATTCAATTGTAACTAATTATTCTTCATTCACCGTGAACCCTCCACCTTAGAAACCCCAAGAGGTTTGTACCGGTTCGTTTTGGATGTTGCGTGATGTGTCTGCGTGACTTTTCCAATTTTCTTATCTAAATTAATCTTTATATCAGTCACCTCGCTCTCCCTCTCTTCCTCCCTCCCTCCCGCCCTCTCTTCCTCCCTCCCTCCTGCCCTCTCTTCCTCCCTCCCTCCTGCCCTCTCTTCCTCCCTCCCTCCTGCCCTCTCTTCCTCCCTCCCTCCCGCTCTCTCTTCCTCCCTCCCTACCACCTCTCTCCTTCTCCTTCCCTCCCGCCCTCTCTCCTTCTCCCTGCCTCCCGCCCTCTCTTCCTCCCTCCCTCCTGCCCTCTCTTCCTCCCTCCCTCCCGCTCTCTCTTCCTTCCTCCCTCCTGCCCTCTCTTCCTCCCTCCCTCCCGCCCTCTCTTCCTCCCTCCCTCCTGCCCTCTCTTCCTCCCTCCCTCCCGCCCTCTCTTCCTCCCTCCCTCCTGCCCTCTCTTCCTCCCTCCCTCCCGCTCTCTCTTCCTCCCTCCCTACCACCTCTCTCCTTCTCCTTCCCTCCCGCCCTCTCTCCTTCTCCCTGCCTCCCGCCCTCTCTTCCTCCCTCCCTACCACCTCTCTCCTTCTCCCTCCCTCCCGCCCTCTCTTCCTCCCTCCCTACCACCTCTCTCCTTCTCCCTCCCTTTGTCTATTTATTTATCTGTCCACCTCCTCTCCCTCTCTCTTCTCCCTCTCTCTTCTCCCTTTCTCTTCTCCCTTCCTCTTCTCCCTTTCTCTTCTCCCTTCCTCTTTTCCCTTCCTCTCTTTCCCCCTTTCCGCCCTCGTCATTCCGTAATGCAAGAAGTCATTGTGCATAATCTGTGGAAGAATGATTCCACGTATTTCTTTACTTGCGTGTACAATGAAAGTCCAGATTTTTAGACTATCCAATTAAAACTTTTGAAACTCATTTTGGTTACTTGATGGGGGTGTAGGGGATGAAGTAGGTGTGTTTGAGGGGGAGGGGAGGGGGAGGGGGGAGCGTTACCTGTTTAACTGGAGCTCTGGAGATCCCCCCCCCCCAGATTAAAATGTATGTGTATCATGTTTTCGTGTGCTTCTGATGGTATATTTTCATGGTTATTTTCTTTTTATGGTGGATGGC